TTTTCTTTAATACTTTTAAAACGTAAAACAAGTGTTAGCTGGACTCACAACCGGAGCAGTGTCGGCACATAATCCACGCCGAAATGCCACATTGCGCGAAACAAAAAATAAATGCACCAGAAATAAATATTAAAAAAAAAAAAAGAAAGCCAAAAATGAAAAAGGTAATGCTATAAATATAAGGAAAAATGTATTCATATATTTACTTGTAACAAATTAAATAAAAAAATCTTAAATTTAAGTTATGTCAATATGAAAATGATAAAGTATACAAATTTATTATTCTTGTAAAATATAAAAATAATATAATTATAATATTACATGATATTATATATTTATAATTAAATATATTATTATATAATTGATATTTTATACTTATATGTTAATTTATAATATTGAATGAAATAACTTACTTAATGATATATTATGATTATAAATTTATAATTTTATGTAGTATTATAAGTATAGTATTCTTATCATTTATTAATTCGAGTAGAAAAAATATAATTATTTTTAATAAAATCTTGATTTTAAAGCTTAAAAATAAAAAAATATGTGTTGAAAAAGTTCTTTTATTTTAGAATTTGATCTGATTTCTCTATATTAACTAAAACTTAATTTAGCTTTTGAATATTGAAGTTTAGTAAGAAAAGAAAAGAAAAAAGTATAGTAATGCACTGGACCGATTAGGTATAAGTGTGCAAACCAAAATTGATCCCACGTCCAAACCCAAAAACATATTCGCTATAAAATTTTCAGAATCCTCACCTATAAACATAGAAAACTTCCACTCCTCTCCTACTACTATACTAAAGTTCAAATAAAATGAAAGGAAGAAAGGGATATTGGTCCCACATTTAATAATTGGCACAAAAAATGAAAAAAATATTAGGAACAGCTAAGGATGGTGGTTAATTAGGACAATGACTAAAAACATTGTCATTTTGAACCCTCTTCGCCACCGACACAAATGAAATGGCCCCACATATCCCTCCCTCCTAACATTTTATATTCAGATTTTTAACCACATGGTCATGGATGCACGGCGTGACAGTTGTTAAAGTCCCATTCCCATAATTGTCCTCGTCATTCCAACATTTTCCCCACCTTTGTGTTAATGCATTTGCCAAAAAAGTTAGGTATCCAAATTTTAGGATTTGAATTCTAAAATTAATTTATTATAAAATACTCACTTATCATAAATTTCATTTTTTGATCATTGAGGAATTTGAGATATGAAGGATATTTTTTAAGTTGTTACTGGGAGTAAGGTTTAAAAACAAATCACCGAATTCAAAAAATTGATTTCACTTATCATAAATTATCTGAAAAGGATTAGTTTAGAGATATGTATGAATTGAAGGATATATTAAAAAAATATTATTATATTTTAAAATTACAATTTAAT